ACTATTACTAGCATCGTTAATGGAATTATCATCATATCTAATTTCTCCATTATCTTCCTCTTCGCTACCCTTAATTTCTACAAAATCATCTTCCTCATCCACCAATTGCAATGTGACCTCATTTTATTGTTTTGTTTGGGCCCAAAATGCATTTTTAAATGAGCAATTTTCTTTTTTAAGAAGGATCCTTTCTGAATTCTTTTCATACAATTGAAATTGAAAAATCAAATTTTAAATGAGGCGCGTGCCTTGAGACGTGCGCCTCAGATTTAGAGGCGTGAGCCTCATATTTTTAGCCTAAAAATTATCGACTCGAGGCATACTACATGCGCCTTACGGTGAGGCGGGCCTCACTACCGCCTTTTTAAACCATGTGAACATGAATCTTCTTTGATGATGTTACACGTTTTTTATAACGTAATATATTGCAAGTGTTCGGTGTCAAGTTTTGTAATATATGATCAAGTATGGATGTCGAACCCACGAGGATTGATAATTAATTTCTACCTAGTTCTATAATTGTGTAGCTCTTATTTTCTTTAGATGAATGAAATTTGGAATTAATGATTTTAACTAAGTTAACGCGATGAATATGGTGATGAATTCAACAAAGAAACGCAAGTTGTAAGAATAATCAAAATGAGAAAGCCTTGGGTTATATTTCACCTAACTATCAAATATGATTCTCAATTATATTATTATTTCTAATTAATTTTTCGAATATCCTAATTTGATTCTACTCCCTCTCTCGAGTGCCGAGTAAAAATTATTACTATATTTCAATTCCAATATCTCTATTCCGGATTAAAATCTAGAAATTATCAAGTTCATGGTTCTTATGTGAAACATGCTTCAAAGATTTTTTACTTTCTCTCCTTTGTATATTTTAGATCTAACTTGCGGGGTTGAATTGGGTACGTAAATAAAGATAAATAAATTATTTTCAAATAATAAATAATATTAGATAGTAATAAAATATTATTTATTGAAATGAGATTTTTTAATTTTTATTAATTAAAATAAGATAAAAAAATAATTAATTTATTCAATAAAGTAAACAAACAAAAGATTCTTTTGTCTTTTAATAATTGATTTTAAGTATAGCCAAATGGGTTGCTTTTGACCACAGCCAAAGGATGCTTTGCAATTCCGACATCAGATAGTGACTACAAAATCCCAGGAAAATGTATCTATAAATGGAATTGCCAACTTTTGAATAAGCAACAATTTTGGGCGGTACAATGGAAGGGCTCAAAATTAATTATGTTATCCAACAATTTTGTGCCTTACAATTGAAGAGGCTTAAAATTAATTATTATATAAATTTTAAATAAATAGCCAATGAATCGGCAAAACCGGTTCTGGGTTAACTGGGTAGTGAATAAACCAGCCAATTGACCAGTTTTTTTATTGTTTTTATATTAAGAGGGTTTTCAAATAAAACCGAATCGGATTTTAGGCCGTTTTCCGGTTAATCCAGTTGAACTGGCCTGCTCGGTCCGGTTTTTATAACATTGAGAAAAACAGAGAGAAATGAACATGGACGCAAGTGGACTTTTCCTCTCCCATAGTAAATGACACTCAGTAGTGCGCTTGTAGATGGACTATATTTATAAATCCTTCTAGCTTTTTACTGTTGTGTTCACATTTTTATGCTCGATTTTCTTTGATTTCTTTTCCTAAATGAAATGTTTGATACTATGGAAAGGCAATGATGACAAATTTGACAAAACATTAGATAAAAGATAAGTTTATGCATTTTATGTTCTTTGAGATAATTTTTATTCAGATTTTCAGTTTATTAATCTAAAATCTTGTAAGCTGATGCTTATTGGTACCTATTTTTTCAGTGCAATTTTTCTTTCTGCTACCATATTAAGCCTTTGTTTGGTCCCCATTATTGTCAAAATATATTTTTATGTCTCTTATGTTCAACCACACATTTTCAATAAAATATTATACACAAATCCAAAACTTTTTCTTATTTTTTAACCATACATTCTCCATCAAAATACTATTTCAAAATACATTTTTGGCAAAAAATGGGGCTCAAATGGGCTCTAAGTAAAGTAGAATGTTGAAAACAGATGCACATTGGTACCTATGTTTTCATTGCCCTTTTTTCTTTCTGTTACCATATTAAGTGTTCTTTTTCATTTTGTAGGTACCAAACACTAACGAGTTTGCTGATTGGATTGGTCGGACAAAACAAAAGCAAATTCGGGTTATTTGGTTAGTAGCATCCTCTCGTAATAAAAGTTCACTGACCATTTCAATACATATTTATAACCTTCTTTATGGGGTACTTTAGCACAAGCTATATATTTCGTATTAATCCAGCAATGGATTTTCTTAGCTTTATTTCTATATGTTTTATTATCTTCATCAGGACAACTAAAAGACCAGTCCCTCTGGAGCATTGCCTTTTTTATTCTGGAGAGCTTTACAAGATCTGTGAAAATGAAAAAATTCTGCCGCAGGGTTTAAAAGCTGCTAAAGATGCTACCAAGAAGAAAAACACAAATGTTGCTGGTGGCGCAGGAACCTATTCTGGTTCTTCAGCAGCCAATGACAGGGCTCGAAATCAGAAACGTGAAAGTTTCTCTCAGGGAAAACAGAACAAACATTCTGGATTCCAAAATTTGGGGAATTCTGGGCCTGGTTGGGGAAATCAAAACAGTGGTGGTGGCAACGCTTGGGGATCACGGAGATCAGAAGCTTCTTTGTGGTTGTCACTTATAAACAAGCTTTCAAAGAAATCCCTCTTACCAGTATGTTTGAAAAATTCTATTCTGATGTCTATGTTTTTTTAGTGCATCCACAAAATATAAAAGTAACAAGTTGCTTTGGCTATTGTATTTCCTGTTTTACTACTTTAATAGTTTTATATTGACTTATTCTGGATGTAGTGCCGTACTTCTAGATAAGAATGCTTACTAGATGTCTGAAAACTATAAGCTTTTGATGCTATTTTAATTCTTCAAACTTCCGCTAATGCGAATATGACATGTTGTCATGTTATAACTTGAATTTTTTTATTTAACATAATTACTTGTGTCTTCAGGTGGTCATATTCTGTTTTTCAAAATTTCGTTGTGACAAATCAGCTGATAAAATGACTGGGACTGACCTCACAACTAGCACAGAGAAAAGTGAAATCCGGATCTTCTGTGATAAAGCATTTTCAAGGTTAAAAGGATCAGACAGAAATCTACCGCAGGTGTATTATTTGATTTTTATTAATTTTAAGTGATTTTGGGATCCAAGAATTTGACATACATGAATTATAGGTTGTTAGAGTTCAAGAACTCCTTAGGAGAGGCATTGGTGTTCACCATGCTGGATTGCTTCCAATTGTTAAGGAAGTCGTGGAAATGCTTTTCTGTCGTGGGGTAATCAAGGTATATTTGTAAGTTGCTGTTTTTTTTTCCAAAGGTTATTTGCATCTTATTTGCAAGTTTTGCATGGAACTCATATATTGGTTTTTTGGAATCTTATTGTGTATTTCCTAAAATAATAACTGAAAAGATGGTGTATGCCAGATTGAAGCAGGATTATGATTGTATTTCTGAGGATAGAATCTTTTAAGATATCATACAGTTCATACATTGTGAGCATGTTTGGCTAAGCTTAAAAAGTTTACTAATAGGTAAGTCCACTTATAAGTAAATGAGGAATTTTTACAGTATGTAATCTTTTTAGTGATCAGAATTGGAAATAAGTATATTACTTATTTTGACATTTAAGAGTTACTTTTAAAATGAGCAATTTTTACTTAGTCACTTAATAATTACTTTTACTTTATAAAAATAACAAATCCTAACATGTTTCGATACAAAAAAGTCAAAATAACTTGTTCGTAAGCTTAGCTAAACATGCTCAAATATATGTCCTTGGTGTCTATTAGTTTTTAATTAATCATTGAGACTTCTAATGGTTGTGTCCTTGGTTATCCTTAGATTCTGTTTTCAACGGAGACATTTGCAATGGGAGTCAATGCCCCAGCTAGGACGGTAAGTTGTTATCAATAGAGTTTCTGTGAGATGTATAATTACTACCATGAGTTAAGAAGGCTTAATCTTTATAATTTGTGTTAGATTTCCTATTGGATTTAATATTATTCCAAATGATATTTTTAGTTGCATTAATCTAGATTTCGAATGGAAGATAGTGCACTTCTCTTTGTAGTTCCATAATCATTGGTTCTTGTTGGATCACCAATATTAACATCAATATGTCTTTCTTATGTATTTGTCAGTTGCTATCTTTATCTCCTGGCAGGTTGTTTTCGATGCTTTAAGGAAGTTTGATGGCAAGGAATTTCGGTCGTTACTTCCTGGAGAATATACTCAGATGTCTGGTCGTGCTGGCAGGAGAGGACTAGATAAAATTGGCACAGTTGTTGTGATGTGCCGTGACGAAATACCTGAGGAGGGGGATTTGAAGCATGTTATAGTTGGCAGTGCAACTAAGCTTGAATCTCAATTTCGACTTACCTACATCATGATCTTGCATCTCCTTCGTGTTGAAGAGCTGAAGGTATAAATAGCTTTGACTTACTGGACAAAAGAGGTTATCAAACGGTAGATGATTCATGATAGATAATTATCGAAAGGTGTGGTGTAGGACGAAGTGTCNTGTTTGCTTGCATTTTCTAAAATTTCACATTTTTATTTCCTAAATTGGAGTCCATAATGACTTGTAAACAGAGAGCAGCTATATAGCTGTTCAACAATATTTAACACAATGCATTAGGATCCACTGCATACTATCCCACCAAAGACTAGACACCATTAATATTGCGTCACCATTGTGCACAGAGAACCCCTCTCCATGCCCACAGGTTCTGCCATCTTTCTTTCGTTCCCCCTTTCATCCCCACTCCATATCTTCCTATTTTCGTTCTATTCATTCTTGCCTTCCATTAGTACCGAACTCCTCACTCCTACCACTGAACTGCCTGCTATGCTTAACTTCATTTTATGGCAGAGCTGTATTAGAATTGTCGCATGACCCAAGAGATATTAAAATTGTTGCCCACACATAACAAGTGCGAACTGCTGCCACCATACTACACACCACCCCCATGCCCACCCACACAAACCACCATGCACAACCCACCACTGGTATCTTATAAAGTTCATGTATTATTTTTTCTTAAAATGCTCTATGCCAAACAGAACCTAAGATGTATTTGTTGTTTACTTTTTTCTTAATTTTTTAATGAAGTTGGGTACGTTTTTGAGTCAATCTTGTAACTCTTTTGCCTCTGACCAGTCTTTCTTATGAAACCTGTTGCTGCGGTGAAGTGTTTGGGGATCCATGATTTTATCTCAAGGGGACAGACCGAGGTTTTCTTTGGAATAATAATAAACGAGCTGACTAGGATTTGGTAGCCTTTAGTTTAATAAAGGAATATAGAGTAATGAGTGGAGGGAGGGACTGAGTTTATGCCACCACTCCAGTAATGAAGAATAAAGATACTAGTTTATGGATTAAATGTGTTGAAGAATTACTTGAATTAGTTGTTTATGCTGTTGATATTTGTTGAGGAGCATCACTTTGCAGGTAGAAGACATGCTGAAAAGAAGTTTTGCAGAATTTCATGCTCAGAAGAAACTTCCAGAGCAGCAACAACTTCTAATGCTAAAGCTTGCTCAGCCTACTAAAGCGATTGAGTAAGCACATTAGATATAACTGTTGTGGATAGAAGCATAACTAAAATGTGAATGCTACCTTCTGTGAGACAGACAGCATGATGTTTCACAATACCATAAATTGGTTCATCAAGTATGTCTTGTGGATGTAGATGCATAAAGGGCGAACCGGCTATAGAAGATTATTATGACCTGTACTCGGAGGCTGAGAGGTATAGCAATCAGATAACAGAGGCAGTCATGCAGTCCCCAGCTTCCCAACAATATCTCACTCCTGGAAGGGTGGTAGTTGTAAAATCACAATCTGTGAGTGAAGTTCATCACTAGCTAAATTTATTCCCACATAAAATACTTGTTCACAGAGGGGATGCTTTTATCAGTTCATTGCTTAGGCATTTCCTTTGAGAATATCACTCATAATTGATGAGTTTGAATTGCTTACAATATTTTAAAAAGGCACTCCAGTATATGCTTTTAATTTCTATTTTTATTTTGTAATTGCTCAAAATTCCAGTATATTACTTCCTCGTGGGTACTGTTTTCAGTCTTGTTAAGTGAAAGATTTAACCCTTGTTTGGCCCCCATATTTTAAAGCTCATTCGTTCCCTAGTTCATTTCCAATCAAATATTTCATGGGACCCACAACTTTTATCAATTTTTCAACCACACATTTCATCAACTTTTTTCAAAATCTACTAAAAATCTGATTTTTAGCAAAATCAAATAGGAACATATGTTTTCAAATTCTTTTGGTTGAAGTGAAGTTTACCATTTTACATATATTATGATATATGTATGGTTTGAGTTTTTGGATCAAGTGGTTCAACATGATACAAGAGCAAGCAACGGTCTTGTGTTCAAGTTTTGCCAATACCCATTTAATGAAAATATGCGCGTCTGGTTCTGATGAAAAATATGAACCCTGCCATGCCGCTAGTAAGGGGTGTGTTTTGAACTCAAAGATTTAAATGACATACATGTGACCCTTGCTAACATTTTAAGCTTTTGGGTCAAGTGGTTCAGTAGAGTCCATATGTTTTTAGATTCATAGCTGTTTTCTTAGCACGTCTAAATCGCACAAATTACAACAAGAAGAGATGCATACTTATTCCTTTTTCATTATGTTTTTGACTTTTGACTTTTAAATCACTGGCAGGTCCAAGATCACCTATTAGCAGTTGTTGTCAAAGCCCCTTCTGGTAACTATAAACAGTACATGGTGTTAGTGCTGACTCCTGAATTACCTTCAACACTGCCTACGCAGTCAGATAGTGGAAATTTGAAAGAGAAAAAGGGTGCTGATTTCCAAATATTGGTACCAAAATCAAAACGTGGTTTGGAGGACGATTATTGTTCTTCTGTCACATCTCGTAAAGGATCTGGTGTTGTCAATATAAAATTACCTCACCGTGGTTTTGCTGCTGGAGTGAATTACGAGGTTAGGGGAGTTGATAATAAGGAGTTCTTGGCCATATGCAATCACAGAATAAAGATTGACCAAGTTCGACTTCTTGAAGATGTTAGTGCTGGCGCCTATTCAAATACTGTTCAGCAGCTTCTGACTCTAAAATCTGATGGAAATAAGTATCCACCTCCCTTGGATCCAGTGAAAGGTACGTCAATGAACACTCTTGACTTACTGTCTGAAACCTGATTGGGTGGCTAATAAACTTGAGACTTTGTGTCATTGTGTTCAATGCAGAGTGATGTTTCATGAGTAAGGTGTTGACTGTTGAATGACTTTGTGGGAAGTTTTTCTTGTGAATTTACTGTTTATAATGGGGTCTCATGGTAAAAATGTTAGTTTCATGGACTAAAAATGTCCGTATTCCTATAACGGAAGACTTTTATTTCCCATTTTTTTAATCAACAAATTAACCTTATTTTAAATCCATAGAGTTGGCTGCATGAATTTTTTTCTGGCCGTTCTTTTCAGTTCAAATATACTTCACAATTTAAAACTAATAATTATGTTGAGAAAAATAAAAATAAATCTTATTCTACTTTCTACTGCGCCTCGAATAATAAGTGTCTTTTGCGAAGTCTTCACCAAAATCGTTATCACAATCTCCATCATATCCCCATAACTGAAAAGAACTCAACTTTGTTCACTCAACTGCAAATATGTTCCACCAAATTTGCATCAATGCTCGAAATCTCAGAAGATATAGACCACTTTAGAATCAAAATCGGAGCACTGCAGAAAAACTCCACATGTGGTTCCTAGTGCGTTTGCTGTTAGCAACTGAACATTATTTTATTCAACGAACATCACCAGAACTGTAGCTTTGGGGAAAGGGTTTAGTCATTGAATAGGGTCTGATACCAATTTTATCCGAACGAGAGAGGAAGATAAAGAGGAAGAAGAATTGGGAAAGAAAGATAAGAAGATTAGGAATTTGGGAGAGAATTCATGGGAAGAATAATTTCAAAGCACTGCATACTCAAACTATTTGTTTACATGATTTTATTTTACTACTCCTATTTATATTTTGAAATCTTAATAAGAAAGGAAAGTTGCCACAATAGCAGAATTTCCTAACTTAAACCCAGTGATTATGTCAAGATAATAAATGATAATCTACTTTCCTTTTTTTATGCCAAAATAGAGTTGGCACTTGGAGGATAAAACATTAAGAGGGGATTTGCTCTCCACCTCTGCTCAGTCTACCAACATTTTTAGCTTTATTAGGATTGTGGTTGTGGGCAATGGTGATGATAATTGTTGATTTGGGGGAGGGGTTTGGTTGGCAGTGGTTTTGGGATGGCTATTATAGTTTTCCAGTGTTGTGGTCAATTGGACAGTGGTTGGTGGCAGCAGCATCATGTGATTATGCTTGTGGCTGATTGTGCAGCTGGGTTGAATGGTTGGTTGTGAGTGTGGTGGTGCTTTGGTTTTGGGGGGGGGGGGGGGGGGTGTTGAGAGAACCGCTACCATGGGGGGGGGGGGGGGGGATCTTTTGTTCCCCCACCCTAATATTTTTTTAGTACCTTATTTGTACCATAAAATAACCTGGGGAGAAATTTACACCAGTAGAGTTTGAATAAGAGCAGTGTGTGGGAACACTCTAAAACATAATGGCAAGGTTGGAAAGATTTTGTGCTTTATTCCCTATTTGGGTCCCATCTGCTTTGTTTCGCATTAGGGACAAAGCAACTGAGTTGAAAGGCTGGAAATTTGGGTGCTTGGTAAGTGAAAAAGCTCTGGTTAGAAGCGACATAAGCAGCTTTTATTTTAAGCTCATTAGAGATACTCAATATCAGGCAACTATTTATAGTAAGCATGCAACACAATAGATGGGGGATGCCTTAATTAGATACTAAAAGAGAATTTCAAGCAAGTTTCATGACAATCATTTGCAGGTGTTGTGAAAGAATCAACAAGTTGAGTGAACTTCAGGGATCAATTAAGATAGGAACTCGAATATTAGAAGTATTTGTCTGTTTAACTAGTACACTCCAATTGTACATGTTATGTGCTTAATTATCTAATGCTAGTTCTTAGGCTGGAGGTTTTCCTCATTAAGGTTAAAAACCTGGTTTATGATCAGAATTCTTTTGGTTCTCTTTTTTGGAGTGTGCGATACATATTTACTCAAGTCAGTGAAGCCTCATCTCAGCTACTTTGGCTGAGCTACATGAATCTCATGGACTTGGGGCCAGCTTCACCTGTGATCATGTTCAGTACTTGTCCATCTTTTCACCAATAGGTCCTTAACCTTGATAGAAGGTAGGTGTATTAGGTAGGGTGATAGAAGTCTGAGTACGTGCTGCCATTCTTTAATATGGACATCGGAGAGTTGCATGGTACTGAATTCTGGATATAGCAAATATTTGGTCTATTTGGATGCTCTCAAATTTTATTTCGTGAATTTCTTTTCAATTGAGATGATGATGAAAAGTCATTGCCAGATCTGAAGTTGAGAGACGTCAACATCGTTGAAGCTTACTACATTTGGAATAGCCTATTGCAGAAGATGGCACAGAATAAGTGTCATGGATGTATTAAATTGAATGAGAACATCAAGATAGCTCGAGAATTGAAGCGGCACAAAGAGGAAGTGAATGCTCTGAAGTTTGAAATGTCAGACGAGGCACTTCAGCAGATGCCTGACTTTCAGGGTCGGGTATGTGGCACTCGTCTCCACATAAAATTGCATTACTTTCTTTTGGCCGAAATTAAATTTATTCTGGTAATTTATTTATGATTTAACTCGAGCCTTAATAGTCCTATCTGACATCTTAGTCATGTCAATACAGATAGATGTTTTGAAGGAAATTGGTTGTATTGATTCTGACCTCGTAGTGCAAATTAAAGGCCGTGTTGCCTGTGAAATGAATTCTGGGGAGGAGTTGATATGCACTGAGTGCTTGTTTGAAAATCAACTGGACGACCTGGAACCAGAAGAAGCTGTGGCAATAATGTCTGCCTTTGTTTTTCAGCAGAAGAAAACTTCTGAACCTTCTCTTACCCCAAAGCTGTCTCAAGCTAAAAAGAGGTAGCATATTTTTCCAACTCTTACTTTATGCTTGCATCTACTGTTGAGTTCTTTAATACATGCTATTAAATTTGGTAGTATTTCTATATTACTGGTGCTTTTTGTTGATGTTTTATTAGATTTACTACATTGTGAAAAGTTTCATTTGTAAAGAGAAGGTAACTTTTAAAATTGTGTTTGACAAAAAGAAGTTTAAATGTAACTTCTACTTGTTTTAAGCTTAGCCAAACATATATTTTAGTTTGCTTCCCCTACCTTGTTATCTATTTTCTGTGTTAATTGAATTGTTGATATTGTGATCAGTATAATCACTTCGATCACATTTATCACTTCGCCAAGTTTCTTGGATTTTTACTTTGTTCTGATGTGTTCTCTGGTTGCTCCTGGAAAATTATGTTACAATTGGCATTATTATCTGTCCCTTATTTTATTCAGACGGAAATATTGCTAGTTGTCGTCCATTTCTTCTTATAAAGATAATGCTAGTTCTCTTGTACTTCAGATTGTATGACACGGCTATAAGACTAGGAGAGCTTCAAGCACAGTTCAAACTGCCAGTTGATCCCCAGGAATATGCCCAAGAGAATCTTAAGTTTGGTCTTGTTGAAGTCGTCTATGAATGGGCAAAGGTATTCTTCTGCTCACTTTGTGTCTCCCTTCAACCCACAAAAGAATATTATGGATTATATTTGGTAGTTTTGTGATTTGCGTATTCTGATGGTAGTTTTTAGATTTTCTTCTCACGTTAGGATTATTATTATGGCATTGTGAGTTCTTCTTCCAGCGCTAAGTATGAAATTGAAAAAGGAGGGAATTTATTGAATACAAATTTGTCTTCTCAATTATCTGTACAAGTGTTGGCATTCTCATGAATCAACGAGTTCGAAATCTCAGTATTTTGTGACAATCATTGAGTTCAAAATCTCAGTATTTTGAGAGAATCAATGAGTTTTTATAGAATATATTTTTTTGGTATTCAGGAGTGAATCGTTGTTTGTGAATTTTCATGTTTACACTTGTGCTTACCAGCGCAACCCCTTTGCCCCCTCCACTCCCACCCTGTAGGGGTAGGCATGTGTTTTATGCAGTTTCATTGCGAGGCTAGGGAATATCTCTTATAATATCTTCGTCTTATCTAATTCTATTTACTTTTCCTATCTACAGGGCACACCATTTGCAGATATCTGTGAACTTACTGATGTTCCTGAAGGTATGATAGTAAGGACAATTGTCAGATTGGACGAAACATGTCGTGAATTTAGGAACGCTGCAGCAATTATGGGTAATTCTTCAATCTTCAAGAAAATGGAAACTGCTTCGAATGCAATCAAGCGTGACATCGTCTTCGCTGCTAGCTTGTACATTACGGGGGTGTGAACATATCCGTGGTGATTGGGCTCCCCTCAATTGGGTCGAGGGACTATAGGAGAAAACAAGTTGTACACTAACCGATGTACATATCATCTTGGGACTTCATAACTTATAAGAAATTGGAAGTTGTACATTAGCCATCCAATACCTTGGGAATTTATGATCCTTGTATCGTTTGGATTATTGTAGAAACAAGATACTCTTTTCCTTTTTAGCCATGCAACAAGAAAATATTATACATTTGTCGCTAATTTGAATTCAAGATAATCAGGTCAAGCGTTTATGGTGCCATTTTGTCTTTTTTCTTTTTTAATTTTTTTAATTTTTTGGACTCCTGTAAGCACCCGATTAAGTTCTCATAATCGTGCACTCCCTGCCTTCACTTGTGTTTTGATTGGACAGCTTGTCTTCCGAGATACAAATTATATGAACAGGAATATGAAAGGAAAGAAATTAACTCTCTTCTTATTAGAAAATGATAATGCATATGAAAAGTTCATATTGCTAGAGCACACTTAGAAATACAGTTCTAAGCATAGAATTGAATGGCACACTTGGGAATACAGTAATACTAATAGAAATGCTTGCAGCATGAGATGAAGATAAAGATGAAATTGCAATAATTTGCGGCGTGTTCAAGAATGACTTGTAATCCTCCATGTCAGTTGTCACTCCTGTTTGGCTTGTCAGATACAAAATTCTTCTGCAATCAGGAAAATGAGATCATCGTTTAGAAAATAATGACATGCTCGGTATAATTTCGACTAGATAGTATTAGACAGATTAAGAACGAAAACGAAGTTAAAATCTTGTATGTTGTATGTGGAATGTTACCTAACACTGCATGAAATACACTCAGTATTGGACCATACTCGACAGCATAAAAAAATAAAAAATGGACGAGATAGTCTTTTGCTATCTTGAAATGCCATAGACATGGTTGAGAAATGGTAACGAATGGGGGAATAATTAAGGTACCATTACCATATCAGCAGAAGCTGGAATCCAGTCATTAGTAGCAGGATTTCCCCTGGATGAGGCATGAGATTCAGTTGCAGAATCTGGTACTATGCTGAAGGAAACCCCATTTGTGTTCTCCACATTTATGAACCCTGTTCCAGTCTGTTACGAAAAAGAATTTATACATTATGATCCCAAAATATGTACATCAAAACATAGCTAAAATATTATGGCTCTGTGCTCATCGCGTCGATTTCAAGTGGATGACTGAACTTCATTAGGTTGGAAAAGCAGGAAAGTTAACATCACAGTCGAAGATTTGTGTTCAGATTGTATTCATTTATGCCGTGCAATTCATCTAATTGTTAGTGGATCACAACTCATATGGAATCAAGAAATGAATGAGGAATGTTTATCAGAAGTTTGAGAGAGAGTGAGGAAGAATTCAAGGTTGGCTTAGGCTATCCTTCAATTTAATTCATGATGGCCATTGGCAGGAATTTTGACTGCGTCCGATCCCCAATTCTTGTTCACCCTGGATGATCGAATGGATTTCCCCCCCACTCTAGTACGATCATACCAAGTGTACAAAGCCCCTGTTTGAGATCCATTTTTTGGGGAAATGAGGGTTGAAATAATGTTTTTGAAGAATGTGTAGTTAAAAAATATGGAAAAGTTTTGGATTTACGCGTAAAATTATTTTGTGGGAGAATGCGTAGTTGAAAATGAATTTTGTAAAAAATGAGTTTTGGAAAAATTGGGGCTCAAACTAGTGTAAACTTAGATAAAGTGACTTGATTAAAATATAATCTTCAACGATTGATTCGTAACAAAACAAAGTTTAGTAAGCTACTTCACCCTAAAAAAATTTGTAAAATAAAACACCAGTTTTATTCAATAAGTGTACAAATTTTAGAGTGATACCTTGTGATGTTGCTTGTCAATGCAATTGAGGTCACTGTAATACTCAGTTTCTATAAACTCCTCAGCTGGTTTGCTTCCTTTGTAAACCAGTTTCTGCACCAAAAGAAATTCTTGTTTATTAAACACAATTTTCTAAACCAGTTTCTGCAGCAGAAAAAAAAAAAAACATATTCCTGATGGGCAGTTCCCGAGGAAAAAAGGTCCCACGTAACTCGCCCTATAGAACGAGTCTTTCTATTTCGGGATCTATTTTACAAGTGCGTCCTGTGTGCATTCAAGATCACGATTCTTGGTTATTTTAATGAAACGAAAAAAATAGAAAATGAGTTGTTAATATTCCTACTAGTTTCTAAGGTGCACAATGTTACCTGAATCAACCGAGAAAGATTTCTTGTTTTAGGTTAGGAAGTTGCATAATTCTTGGACCTAGCAATCGATAGTACAGTTACTGAATTTTGAATAAGTAAATTCATTGGGATTTGCAGATCTGCTCATTTTCTTTATCGATCAGCCGTTTGCTTCAAGAATTATCCACGAAGAGGCGTAAAAAGAGGTTTATTGCTTTCCAAACACAACCCTCAATATATATCTAGCAATAGGTAGTAGATTTATAACATGTTTGAAAAGAAAGATTAGATCGTACTAAACAAATATTAATGAAGGAAAATTAACTGAGATCTTGTTGAGTATTGTCTAATCTAGTCCATAAAATTCATTAAAAACCATATAACTTTCCGCTCTTTCCTATTCATAGTTCCTCAGTGTGTTTTCACATCGAGAATTATTTACACAACGAAAAGACGCTTATTACGTTCAAACACATCCATCTAGATCTATATATTTTATATTGGTTTATCAAGAATACATTTATAAGTACAAGAAGTAGCAGCAGATGTACCTGAGGATCCTTTTCGAGACGTTGGAATTCATCATATTCAGGATTGTTGACACCATTAATGGAGTTCTGGGCATCAGTATAAGTGGAAGAATACTCGCTCCTCTGAGGTTTTGTGTGGCGTTTTGGTGCCAAAGCATCAAAATGGTCTCTCGTTTCTTCCTCAATCTTTACTTCCTCCTCTTTAGACAAATGAACATCACTACGATTTGGCCTTCTGCGACACTCCATTATTAATTCTCTCTCTCTCTCTTGTTCTCTCTATCTCTTCTTGATTGTTTTTAATTTAGTTCTTCGTACATATATACTAGTATTTAGGCAGATATTTTCTTGTATGTAGCCAGGGTCAGAGATAGGAGGCAGCCTCTCATTTATTTATTTATTTATTTTTATGCGAATTTTTTCTTCTATGTATTAATATTGTACAAATATGTTTTTTGTCTTCCCCTGACTCCGCCTCTAATGTTAGCATTTCTACTTTGGATACATTTTCAAAATGAAAACTCCTCGAAAATCCAAAATAATTTTCGAGCTTTCATGTTCGAGTTCTTACTCTCTCTCTCTTTTTTTAATATAGTAATTATATGTGTTCGTGTTTTACTTCTTAAAGAAATAACGTTTAAGATATTTTGATAGATAGATAGATATTTGTGTAATAGTCTTCAACGTGGAGAAACAAGGAAGCGAAGAGCCTTATCCATGGATTGAAAAGTAGTACTGTATCTCTTTCAATGGAGGTCCCATGCATGCATGTCTCTGCAGGACCACCTGCAACAGGTTGAGACACAGTTAGCCTATCTTTAACTCTCTTTAAAATAAATTAATTTACTTCTCATACTCATTTTTAACTGTATATTCACATTATTTTGTACGTAAACCCAAAATTTTTATTCTATTTTTAACCACATATTTACAAAAAAATCACTATTTAAAACATCATTTTTACCCAATAATAACCATCAAACAGGGCTTAGGTATGGTTGGACATATTAAACCCTAGTTGCAAAGCCGTATTAAAATCTACAGGTTGTTTGACAATGCCTTTTATCGAACTTTTAGTATATTTTGATAAAAGTTAGATGAAACATGTGGTTGCAAAGTTAATAAAAGTTGTGGGTTTTATGTAATTTGAAGTTAAAATTAATTATTAACTTTGACCCAATTTTTCCAAACATGCACCTAGGAAAATTACAGCTCAGACCTTTGTAGTATAGAGCAATTTGATTTTCAACATTCTGATAGCATACTTTGAAATTAGAAGTTAATAATGTCACACTTTGTATTTATTGTTTATTTTATTTATTTTCGAGGGGGATCCAAATGATTTCACCCCTCCCAAAGGAGGCTCAATCCTAGGTCATCATATTGGTAAAGCTTTGGTTTCATATTCGTTGTTGTTTACTTATTTAAAAATATGAGAAGAAAATAAGTCTTTTTACACTACTTGTAATAGACTTGTTGATGTAAACCGTCACCAAATGCAGAATGTACTAAATTATAAAAGATTGAAAATAAGAATATGATGATTATGTTATGAAATTCCATGATTTTTTCTTGTTTAAGATAAGAATGTAACGAATGTGTCATGGAATTCTATGATTTTTCTTGTTCTAAATTTTAAGTAACTTATTACTTACTAGTTAATACTGTGTTATGGAATTTAACAATTTTTTTTACTGATATTTATATGATAGTTGTTCTCCAATAAATTTAGATGATGATACTCTAGAAATTAAAGCATCTAGCCATCAAATAAATAAATAAATAAACATTAGATTTATGGCAAAATTTAAAATTTGATTCAGAAAGAGGAAAAACAGTGTGTAAAATGCGTTCAAAGGAATATGTATGGATTTGCTGTCAAAGCACCGACACATTGCAACTAACAAAAAATCTCATTTTAAGGAAGAGAAAAATTAGATGCTAGACAAACTAATATATTTGTGGATTAATTACTTTTCTAACTTTTCTTATTCACAATAGAGAATGAGAACTAGAATGTCTAATTTTTTGGCTAGTAAAGAAGTTGTCCTTCACTTACACAAAAGATAAATTTTTCGAGGACTTTATGCAAAAGTATGTCCAACCCTCTTTGTTGGGAATTTACTTAATATGTACAGCGGAAAATTAATAATTTTTCAATTCCCACCACGGATCTGCTTTGTGTTTAGATAGAAATTGTGTTGAAAATAATACCTTTGATGAATTCNTCTCTCTCTCTCTCTCTCTCTCTCTCTCTCTTTTTGCTAAGTCCATGATACTACACTAAACTTGAGTATTATCTTATCCCCTATATTGTTGGCATTTTTATACTTACTCAACCATTTCCCGGCGAGTGTCCTACCGTCGGCGAACCTCCTTGTTGAATATTAAGCTGACTTGACCGTCGGAGTGCTTGCGGCCGCTCCCACCCTCTTCGGGAAAGGGCTCAAGCGATTGACGGTGTGCTACATGTGCAAGGAGAAGCTGACTTGAAGACATCTTCTGTTGGCCACGTATTTGAGCCATTTTTCAAGGTCAACATATTGGCGTCGTCTGTGGGAACTAACTTAACCACGAGTTTTCCCACCAAAAGCTGCTCGAACATCCGGTCGACATTCCCCATTTGAGAAATGGACTAATCCTTGAAAAAGGACCCTTTAGCCACTTTGGAACATGAGTTCAAGCGGCGAAGAGGTGAATGCAGGAGCAAGGGATATCTCTGAAGAAGAGATTATCCAAACTAATGTCAACCAACGACGGCCTCACCACCGTTACCGAAGAGGTAGAAGAACTGCTGCACGTCTAACAGCCCAAATGCCTGCTAACATGAGAACTATCGCAGCTCAAAACGCAGCTATGCAAGAGCTTCTCAGGCAAGTACAAGATCGAGGAAGTTTGCAAGCCCTACAATACCCCCAACAATCCGCTCATAGACACACCGAGGCAGAATCCAGCAAGAGAAGTCCCCAGGGGGAAGCTCCTATTGAAAGAGAAGTGGGGATGGACACTTCTAACTATACTGCCGTTCCGGTCAACGTCCCAGCAGGAGAATACAATTTTCCTCCGGAGTACGAGGAGCAACCTCAGAGATCCGTTAGTATCTTTGACCGGATCGAGCGAGCACCTAGAAATAGGGATCAGCCTCGCCAAACCGTTCCTCAGCAGAGGCGAGAACAAAGCCATGGAACCCAGAACCCCTCTTCTAGAAATAGGCGGGAGAGGAGAAGTCAAGTGGACTGGGGAAATAGGGCTGGAACATCCCAGCGTCCACCTCGTCCAACAGTAGATGGGACGAATCAGACGAACCCTGCAGGTCATACGAACTGGACGACGATGATGACAACTTGCCTTTCTCCAGGGAGCTTCGCACTTTTCCGATGCCTCAAAACTTTGTCCCTCCGAAGATCTCCAAATACGAAGGAAAAGGTGATCCAGAGAAGCACCTCAACAAGTATAAAACACAGATGAGCCTCCGTGGCGCTTCGCCAGCTTTGAGATGTAGAGCTTTTCACCTAACCCTTGGTGGGGCTGCTGAGGTATGGTACAGTAGATTGGCACCACTCATCATACGAAGCTGGCCTGACCTGAAAAAGGCATTTTTCAGCCAATATCCCTCGAGGAAGGAGGGAGAGGCTCCGATCCAGCGCTTGCAAGACATGAGGCAAGCAGCAGGGGAGACCCTTAAAAGCTACCTTGCCCGCTTCACTGATGAGATAACTTATTACGAGCAGGTCACGGATAAGGAAGCCCTATCAGCTCTGAAAGGAGGCTTGAACATGAACACTTTATTCTGGATAGACGTCCGAAGCAAGAATCCTTCAACATATGATGAATTGGTGGAGATGATGAAGGTTGAAATTGTCAATGAAGAAATGATTGACCATAGGAATAGAGCCGCCCAGGGGCTCCAGCCACCTCAAAGGCAGATGGGTAGAGGACCCACCTCTCAAATAGTGAGCCAGCAGTGGACCCAGGCTGGGCACACCGTGGCCCCCCACTTCGGGACAGGCACTGGCCACAGCCACTCTGAATGCAGTCCCCACCTTGGCTTACGAAAACGCTGGGCCAAGTGAAAGTAACCCCGCCAGGAACACTAGACGACCCTCAACCTCTAGAAATAGGGAAAGAGGAGGAGGCCCTAGAGATAGGCCCCCAGAAATGCGAGCCTATTGCACCATTCATCGCCATTA